TGAAATTGTTTATAGATGCTACAGACAAAGTGTAAAGTCGGCCTTGGTTTGGCTTCCTAGATTTAAGAAGTTTTTAAATCTGAAATTACAATGTGGTCAGTTGTTATTCCTGCTGCACTTATATAAATGATCAGGTAATATTTGATAAAACTAAACTTATTTTATAAACAATTTAGTTTTACTCTACCATCTTTGGTTAAAATAGCAATTATGATAAGGAAAAAACATGTTTCTAAGAAAATCTATGATAGAACTGCTACTAGACTATGGCCCTGGGGATTGTTTTCAAGTTTTTATTATCTACCTATAGAGCAAACTAGATCCTAAAATCTTCTAGGTTCCTCAAATCCAACCTTCTTCCATAAAATTACTAAAACCAGGAACTGCTTTATTCCTAAAACCCTATGTAAACTAATACTAAATAGGCGGGACATGGTGGCTCATGCCTATAATCCTAGTACGTTGGGAATCCAAAGCAAGTGGATCACCTGAGGTCAGTTCAAGTCCAGCCTGATCAACATGGTGAAACCCTGTCTGTACTAAAAATACAAAAACTAATCCGAGTCACAGCACCAAAAAAAAAAAATTAGATAGGCATGGTGGTGCACACCTGTAGTCCCAGCTACTGGGGAGACTAAGGCAGGAGAATCACTTGAACCTGGGAGGCAGAGGTTTCAGTGAGCCGAAATCACACCACTGCATTCCAGCTTGGGTGACAAAAGCAAGACTACGTCTGGAAAAAAACAAAAACGAACAAACAAAAAACTACAACTAAATAAATTTTAAGAGACAGGTCTTGTGCCTGATGTATGGACACACGGAAAGTTCACTGTACCACTCAATGCCATAACCAGAGACATTAAAACTACAAATCAAGATGAGAAATTGATGTCTTTATGTGTGGACATCTTTTCCCAGAAACATTCCAACAAGACTCCCCATGATAATAAGACGCTTTCCTCTCTTAATTTTTTTCCTTGCTTATGCCCACTTCTTTCACTTGACAGGATATTGGTATAATTAAAATTTCACAGTCAATAGCTACTGCAGGTAACTTGACAAGACCTGATCTTAAAAGAAAAAAAATTCTTTAGAACAGGATAGAGAGCCCAGAAATAAGGCCATACATCTACAACTCGATCTTTGACAAAGCTGACAAAAATGCAATGGGGGAAAGAACTCCCTTTAAATAAACGATGCTGGGATAACCGGCTAGCCCTATGCAGAAGATTGAAACTGTACTCTTTCCTTACATCATAAATAAAAATTAACTCAAGATGGATTAAAGACTTAAATGTAAAACCCAAAAATAAAAATCCTGGAAGACAACCTAAGTAATACCATTCTGAACATGGAAACAGGCAAAGATTTCATAACAATGTCAAAAGCAATTGCAACAAAAGCAAAAATTGCCAAATGGGATCTAATCAAACTAAAGAGCTTTTGCACAGCAAAAGAAATTACCAACAGAGTAAACAGATAACCTATAGAAAGAAAGAAAATTCTTGCAAACTATGCATCTGACAAAGGTCTAATATCTAGCATCTATAAGGAACTTAAAAATCAATTTACAAGAAAAAAAAATTATAAAATGGGCAAAGGACATGAACAATGCTTTTCTAAAGAAGACATACATGCAGCCAACAAGCACATGGAAAAAAACTCAACATCACTGATCATTACTGAAATGCAAATCGAAATCACAATAAAATACTAACTCACACCAGTCAGAATGGTGTGGTTACACCACAGATGCTGGTGAGGTTGCAGAGAAAAGGAAATGCTTATACACTGTTGGTAGGAGTGTAAATTAGCTCAACCATAGTGGAAAACAGTGTGGCTATTCCTCAAAGACCTAAAAACAGAAATACCATTCAACTCAGCAATCCCATTACTAGGTATGTGCCCAAAGAAATAGAAATCATTTTATCATAAAGATAAATGCATGCATATGTTCACTGCAGCACAATTCACAATAGCAAAGACACAGAATCATCCTAAATGTCCATCATTGGTATACTGGATAAAGTAAATGCGGTACATATACACCATGGAATACTATATAGTCATAAAAAAAAACAAGATCATGTCCTTTGCAGGAACATGGATGGAGCTGGTGGCCATTATCCTTACCAAACTAACACAGAAACAAGAAACCAAATATTGCATGTTCTCATAAGTGGGAGATAAAATGATGGGAATACATGGACACAGAGAGGGGAAAAACATACACTGGGGCATCTGGGAGAATGAAGGGTAGAAGGAGGGAGAGGATCAGGAAAAATAATTAATGGGTACTAGGCTTAATACCTGGATTGATGAAAGAATCTGTACAACAAACCCCATGACACCTATATAACAAACCTAGCCATGTACCCCTGAACTTAAAATAAGTGTTTAAAAAAAAAGAAAAAAAGAAAAAAAATCCTTTAGCCTACCAAGTAGGTGATGTTAGTAACACTGCAATACAGCTTTCTGTTCAACTTGTACTAAGGGTCCTGTTTAAAACGGACTTGGCAGCCGGGCACGGTGGCTCACTCCTGTAATCCCAGCACTTTGGCAGGCCAAGGCAGGTGGATCACAGGGTCGGGAGATCGAGGCCATCCTGGCTAACATGGTGAAACCCTGTCTCTACTAAAAA